TTGCCCTATTTGGTGCAGGTATCAAAATACTGCCGCGCGTGCGCGATGACGTCATGCGCAGTGCCGTCTCGGCGGGGTGACAGTCGGTTACCGCTCCGGGTGTCACCCAGCCTCGGGACGCCCCTGTTTGAGTTCCTTGTTGAACCAAGAAATTAGTGTACCTTTTGTCTGGCTGAACACTGGCAGATGTGTGTACAGAATTACAATTCATTTGGCTGGAAAACGGTAAACATATATGTATTGGCGCTGTATTTAGCTGTTTGCCTAGATTTATTTAATTCTTTGTATCCTGAAGTAGTGGATTCTGCATTTTTTTTATTGTCCTTTGAAATCTATATCTTTTCAGCTTCAGTTTCCTTACTGTCATTAGGACATTTAGCCTCCAGGATTTGTATACATGAACGATGTCCCCAGTTCCACAGGCTAACACAAAAACTTCTGATGGTTTTTCCATGCAAATCATGTTAGTTATAGGGTAATTTCACTTTCCCAGGTGAATTTGGATATATGGAATTTCCCCCAGCAGTATGCACCCTCTCCCTCCCCGCGGCTTTTACCTGTTAATGATTGCCCTTTTCCCTCCCAGGGAGAGGGCGGCGCGCACCGGCCATTGAGAGAGCGGCCCGCACCGGTCAGGGAGAGGTGCTTTTTATTGGTCAGTGGGCTCAGGTGACTCACCATTTATGGGTAAAATTTAATATACATACCACAGGGCTGCAATCCTACAGATATTATGCCAGCAACAATGCAGGGGAAAGGGCGATCATTTACTAAAGGGCAGCTAGAAGATGGGGAAGATTGGTGGGGGTAATTCCATTTTCCCAAATTCACCTGGGAACATGGAATTTGCCCATTAAACAATGCTGTCCAGTGGACGAGTTCACTACTCCTGGGACAGTTAAGCCTTCATGTAGGTCCTCTGCTGTCATAAGGGGACTACAGACTGTGTTCACTGCACAGGTTGGGCTAAGCTCTCTGTGTAAATCAGCAAAACTTGTACTGTGAGGCAGGGTTTCCAAACTATTGCTTATGACTATCAGTGACCTTTGTGGTTACAATATAATGCCTAATCTGTTGAAACCTTTCAGTCTTGGATCATCTCATTCTGTGGCACTGAATTGTTCTAATGATGAAACTTACATTTGAATCTAGGTTCTGTTGTACTGCACAATGATCACAGCTGTTTGGTTATGCCGGATAAGTGTCTTTTAACCAGTTGACATCCGCGGTTTTATGTGTGTGTGTGTACGCAAACGAGCACATATAGGCGATCGGCAGGCTATGGACCCGCTGATCGCCTATATGTGAAACACCCGGTACCGGGTGTTCGCATTGGACGGGTCTTTTCTGCCCGTGCGTGCCTGCTAGGGGGCGCGCGCGAGCAGAAAAAAAATGCCGTCTGGCGACGGCAACCCGCCAATGCAGCAGTGCCGTCCGTCCGTTTTTTCTACTACGGGCGGACGGCAAGAGGTTAATAAAGGTGTTTTTAGAACCACACATTGCATTCGAAATGTCCTCTGTTATACAGATATTGAGCTAAATGGAATTCAATTGCAAACGTTTTTTTATTTTGTGGCTGGCACGCAGATGTTATTTGTTAAGGTTTCCAACCATTTCTGTAGTGTTCAGTTTACTTGTCTAGTACATTATCAGTATGTATTGAACTACAATGTCATGTGTGGTGCTTTCTCCTAATAAATGTGCTTTATTCTTTAGATGCTGTTGAGTCCCAGCACTTTCAGAGTGTACACAATTGTGTATTTTTTGCTGTTTTGGTCCTTGATTTTCAGTTTACGTAAGTTATTCTGTTTATAGAAATATATATGTATGTATTATAAATGCTTGCAAGAGGTGTATGTCTGTTCATAATGTTATGTCATAAGCACTATTACCCCAGAACTTCAAGGGTATGAGGGAGCATGTGGCCTTCTTCCTTGTGACAGTGCCCTGGCCTAGCAGCTTATCACTAGGCTTGAACACTGTCGTATGACTAGGGGAGTGACATCAACACTAGCCAGCCATGGAGGTTCTTTCATCCACGCCGAGAATGAGAGAAATATAGCTGTACATGACTAGCATTGTTATTCAATAGACTTTTTGACTTGATCATACAGATGTGGACACACTTGTTGGTACCCTTACAGCTCATTGAAACAATGTTTTATTCCTTCTCAGAAGTGCTGAAGATAAAAGCAAATTACCATGTATAGTAATGTGAAAAGACATAGATTATTGCCTATTCTACAAAGATATTCTAAAATAGTCTGGACAGATTTGTTTGTACCCCTAGAAAAGATTCTAAGTCATTGGATCATTGTGATATTTCAAATTAACTGCTTTCTGTAAGTCGTAGCACACAATATTTTAAATCATAAAGTCAGTCAGTCTATTCAATTGAGATATGTGGTCCCTGGACGTTTGGTACCATTGCATGTACCACTCTAAACATGGACCAGAGAAAGCTGAGGCGAGAGTTGTCCGAGGAGGTCAGAAAGAAAATTGTAAACTGGCATGTGAAAGGTAAAGACTATACGACTAACTCCAAGTAGCTTGATGTTCCTGTGACTACAGTTGCAAATATTAAGAAGTTTAGGGTCCATGGAAATGTAGCCAACCTCCCTGGACGTGTCTGCAACACGAAAATAGACTCCAGCTTGAACAGAAGTATATTGTGAATGGCAGACAAAGATCCAAGGAAAACAAGCTGAACACCAAGGTCAATTTACATTGATGTCCTATCACACCATCCGTCCCTTTTTGAGCAATAATGCGCCCAAAGAAAGAAGACCCAGAATGACTGCACTGTGGAAAAATAAATAATCAAACGTCAAATAATCAAACGTCAACAAGCCACAATGCTTCTTGGAGAATGTCCTTTGAACAGAGAAAACAAACCTGGAGCTTTTTGGCAAGTCACATCAGCTTTATATTCACAGACAGAAAAAGAGCTTTCAAAGAATGGAACACACTACTTACTGTGAAACATGGAGGGGGCTTGGTTATGTTTTGGGGCTATTTTCCTGCGTCTGGCATGCTGTGTCTTGAATCCAGACTATCAAGGAATTTGGGAGCAAAATGTACTGCCCAGTGCCAGAAAGCTCTGTCTCAGTCACAGGTCCTCCAACAGGATAATGACCCAAAACACACAGCTAAAAGCACCCAAAAATGGCTAAGAGCAAAATATTGGACTTCTATGAGCCTTGATCTGAATTCTGTAGATCTATGGAAAGAGCTTGAACATGCAGTCTGGAAAAGGCACCCTTCATACCTGAGACAGCTGGAGCGGTTTTCCCAAGAAGTGAGGGGTGCAGACGTCTCATTGAAAGCTACAGAAATCACTTTTTGCACTGATTGCCTTTCAAAGTTGTGCAACAAAATCTTAGGTATAGGGTCCCATTATTTTTGTCCATGCCATTTTCATTTGTTTATGATTTAAAATAAACAATGATGGATGCCAATGACGTCGGTCAGTTTCAAGTTATTTCAGAGAAAATGGTGAGTGGTTCTTTTTTCATTGAACAGTACCAACAAGTTTGTTCACGTCTGTATGTAGATCAGTTGGTTCAGAGTGCTAAACCCGATTGATTACAAGCTTCATTCTGCTAATACATTGCCTTGTGCTCTCTTGTGACATCACACGCACTAAACCAATGTATCTGATGTTCACTATTTAAGGTTTATATAGCAACTTGTACAGCTTGTGGGGAATTTTTAGGACAAATCTTTTGTTCTGTCAAACTTTTCCATACTTAACCAGTTTTATTAAAGCTAAATTGTGATAAGATCAAAATCACACAGAAGGCTTCCACTACCAACTCTCTAACACATGAGACTCCTATGATTGCTGTAGGTGTTCAGTGTGCTACAGACACAAAATTCTGCACTTGTCATGTATCACTACTGCCATGTAATAGACTGTTCGAAAGGTTCTTCTGGCAATTTTTCATTGTATCTGCCTAGCATCTTGGTGACGGCTATGTAAAATCCGCGCTTATGGATTAAAATGTGTGTGTGTGTATATATGTAATATATATATATATATATGTGTGTGTATATATATATATATATATATATATA